GGTTTTGTGAATTTAAGATAGTTCGTTGTAACCTTTTTCTCTATCTTATATTATCTTTGTAACAATACATACACACAACACACAGAGCAGTAGCTAGGAACACACTCATTCATTAAGTTGAGGATTATTCAATTTATTTCTCTTATTGTTAAGTTGGTATCAGAGCCACTTAAGGCAAACGTCATTTCTCGTCCACAAGACCAATAATGTCTTCCTCAATTTCTGAAACTCTTCCAGCTCAGTGCCCAAAAATCTCATCACCATTTGGTGGAACACTCAACGATGCCTTTGTGATAAAGTTGGATCACAACAATTATCTTCTCTGGAATCAATGGTTGTTCCAATCATTAGAGGCCATAATCTTCTTGGCAAGAAACCGTGTTCACCTGCCTTTCTAACAATTGAGAATAAGACTGAACCTAAAACTGAGAATGGAGCAGCACATATTCTAAAAGCTCATCCTAACCCAGAGTCTGAGGATTGGGTTACTATTGATTAACTATTACTTGGATGGCTCCATGGTTTCATGAATGAATCAGTTTTAACAAAAGTCATCCGATTGTCGACCTCCCATAAGGTGTGGAATAAGTTAGAGACTTTATATGCTAATCCGTCAATGGCAAATGCTCTCAACTACCGGCAGCAACTGCAACTGACCAACAAAAGCTCAATGATGAATATGTCACCAAGATGAAGAATTACTCCAATCAAATGGGGGTAGTTGGCCAGGCGCTTCCATTATTTGACTCAATAACGATTGTTCTTGCTGCTCTTGATCTTGACTATGATAGTGCTGTCTCTCTTATTACTCATCAAAAGGCAACAATCACTAGGTCTGATGTTGAATCGATACTTCTTAGTCAAGTAAGTCGAATTGAACAATTAACTACTATGAACAACATCACTCACTTCTCGACTAATGTTGTCACAATGAACAAGCAGGGNCTTTTGTCCAATTTAAAAGCTCTTGTTGAAACTAAGTTTGATTTGAGCAATAAAACAATTCAAAGTGACTCAGGGGTGAATATTGCTTTTTTACAAATTTTCTAGCCCAATTTGGAGTTGGTTTCAAACACCTATGCCCACACACACATGAACAAAATGGGGTAGTTGAGCGTAAACATCGTTATATTGTATAACTTGGTCTCACTTTGCTCAATCGATCTTCATTGCCTCTAAAGTTTAGGTGGGAAGCCTTGCAAATAGCTGTTTACCTTATAAATCGTTTACCAACTAAGGTTCTTCAAAATAAATCTCCATGGGAACAACTCAATCATTCTAAACCAAGCTATTCTTTTCTAAAAGTAATTGGATGTGCTTGTTATCTTTCTCTTCGTCCATATCAAAATCAAAAATTTCAATTTCATACTAATGAATTTGTGTTTCTTCGGTATAGTGAATCACATAAAGGTTATTGGTGTCTTACTTCTAGTAGCGGAGTTTATATTTCACGTCATGTTGTGTTCAATGAGTCAGAATTTCCTTTTCAATGAGGGTTTTTTTTACTACTGCTTCGTTTGGGTTAGTATTCCTTCCCTCATGATGTCATCCTCGAGTTATCCTTCTTTCCAACATAGTAATGGCTCATCTTCAAGTTCTCCTGCTATAGGTCCAAATGTGCAGGCTAAGTCTCTTCGCTCACACTATGAAACACAACAACACCATACTATAACCATTCCTTGTGAAAATTCAACGCCTAAAGACCTTTCACCTATAACTATATCAACTAAAGATACTCATTTAATCAATCCATCCTTGCCACCTCTAAATACCTTTAACCTTAAACTATCTGTTAGCCCACCTATGTCTCACAATCCATTAGTTTCATCTTCTCCACCTCCCATGAGCCATCGTAAGCCTCGACCACATATTCCTACCCATTCAATGACTACCAGAGGCGAAGATGGGATTTTCATGCCTAAGATCTTTTCAGGTGAGGTTATTAGCTCAAATGTTTTAGATTATTCTCCGTTAATTGACCATCTTCTACTAAGGTTGCCTTGCAGGTCCTGAATGGAAGCAGGCTATGGACCAAGAATTTTAGGCTCTCCACATAAAGCCCGACTAGTTGCAAAGGATTTCCATGTATCGTCACACATTATGCCTTTTAGAACATTGCTAAAAACATGACATCCTTTGTTTGGTTTGGCTCAAAATCATTTTCTAATAAATTCTAATATAAGTTATGTGTTGTTAAAAAATTGATAAAAGTTGTGAATCTCATAAAATATGTGATTGCAAATGAATTTAGGTAAAAAAAAAATAAAGTTGAGGCCAAATAGGTATAAATTTCTTGGTCAAAAGCATACATTTCAATATTTTCACTCAAATCCCTACAAATCTAAAACTTACAAGTTGGCCCAATAGTTTACTTTAGCAAATGATAACTTCCAGTCAATACTATTTGCCTCCTAAATAATTTCTCTATGCTAACACGATATTTTTACTCTTTCCATTGCATGGATCATCATGGTATATTACCTGACTCTATATATTATCAATACAGACATACAGTGACTTGCATTGTAGTTCAAAACAATATTTCTGGCCTCAAAATATTTGTACATTATTCAAAATAAAAATACGTTTACAACTTCAATGAACAACATGAAAGTGATCATACTTCACTAACTTTAGTAAACGTAGACTAATAAATATATTACTTATATTTGATGTTATCAATACATAATATAATAAATTTTTAAAAGATGATAAATTTCGTGTGCGTCAGCTCGATGTGTGGACCACCACCTTGTTTTTTAAAAAGATGATAAATTTCAACCTGCATGCACTTGGCGTCTCCTTGTCCTTCATGCAAATCCAACATTTCTTTTCCCAACGCGTGTCCGTGGCTCACTTTTCCAAACATTATTTTTATTCATCACCCAAAATCTGAGACAAAACCCTTCACCAATATTCTCGAATTGCACTTCAAGATTATAGACCTCCACTTTCTTTGGAAATGGAAATCATGAAATTCAAGTAACAGTTCTACTAAATCCACTATCCATCATCAGGTATGCACCAAGGCAAAGGGATGTAGTATTATATTTTTCTTCTGCTTTTCTTTCCTATGTTTTTACTGGATTGTGGTTTTTGGATTGTTTTCTTACAGTAAACTGATTAAGGGGTTGTTTGGCAAAGCTCTTGATAAAAAAGTTAGCGTAATTTGATAAAAGTTCAGGAATTGTGTGGTTAAAAATGTGATAAAAATGAAACAAAATATATGGTTACATGTGAAAAGTTGATAAAATTTTACAATGTTTTTATCCAACAAGCTGTCATTCTGGTTCAAAGTTTTTCAAAAAATTGTGTTGGTATATTTTTAAACAGGGTAGGATGGAAGATCCAAGCGAAGAGTGGGAAATCGAAAATGAAAATGGGTCTTCTTCTTTTGAAGAAGAAAAGATTGAGAAAAGTAGGATGGGTTGGATCCTGGACAAAAGTCTGAGCTTGGGAAAGAAGGTAGTGATTACTGGTATTGTAATATCATCTGCTCCACTGGTTCTTCCTCCTCTTGTTGTTATTTCTGCAATTGGGTTCGCCTTTTCGGTTCCTTTTGGGTTTGTCTATGCCAGTTACGCCTGCAGTGAAAGGCTCATGAGCAAATTGCTGCCGGAAACTGTGCCATCTGTTTCGTGGGATGATCAAAATTTGACATATGAGGAGGAACGAGGAGGAGGTGGAAATTCTTCCATTGTTAAGGGGGATTTTGATGCAGTTGCAATGGGGAAAGAGGAAACGGAACATGAGGAGGAACGAGTAGAAGAAGCACCCGAAAATGCATCCCTTGTTAAGGGGGATTCTGATGTAGTTGCAGTGGAAGAAGAGGAAAGAGAACGAGAGGAGGGACGAATAGAAGAAGAAGTTGAAAATGCATCCCTTTTAAAGGAGGATGTAGTTGCAATGGAGGAAGAGGAAAAGGAACAAACAGAAGAAGTCCAAAACGAATCCATTGTTAAGAAGGATGTGGTTGCAATGGAGGAAGAGGAAAAGGAGCAAGAGCAGGATATGAAGAAAGGGATTGAAGTAAGAATTGAATTGGTGGAAGATGGAAGCAGAGAAAAGGGTAATGATGATGATAAGGTTAGAGAAGCCATTGAGGATGATCAAGACAAGGTGTTTAGCAGAGATGAAATTTTAGAACAACGAGGCTATGGTGAAGGCGAGTCTTCGGAGAGGATGGATGATATTGAAATTGAAGAACTGGATAAAGAAAAGGAGAAAGAACACTTATTAGAATGTAATGTTCAAAAGCCTATAGTTGGGGAAAATGAAGAGGATAGGAAATTTGAAGGGGAGAGCGCAGAATCCCTTGAATTTATTGGGGATGTGGGTTGTGATAGAGAGAATGAGAAAAACGGTGTGCGCTGTTTAAAAGTTCAACCTGTTGATCATGTGGAAAATGGGGCTGACAAGAATGTCGAAAGTAGGACAGAAGAGGATATGTCTGAGGACAAGAATGTTGCAATTCAGGAAGAAGAAGACGCATCTAAAACTGCAGAACTCAACAAAGATGTCCCTGAGATGAAAGGAAGAGAGGAGAGAGAAAAGGCACCTCCATTAGAATGTAATAAAGAGCCAAGAAGAATAAGTGAGGATAGGAAATTTGAAGGGCAGAATACAGAATCCTATGAAAATACTGGTGATGAGGTAGCTAGAAAGGATGCAAAAAATGGTGTGCATCGTTCTGAAATACAACCTCATGTTTCTGTGAAGAATGCGTATGATGAAAATATTTTAAGTAGGAAACAAGACGATCTGCCTGAAGATAAAAATGAAAATATGGATAAAGTAATCCTGGCTACTAAGGTAAGAGAAAAGGTAAAAGGAGATCAGACCATTTCTATGGGCAAGAGCAGCAATGTTGAAACAGAGGGAAAGCTGGATAACGCTGTCCCTGGGATGAAGGGAACAGAAAAGTTAAAGGGAGGTCAGAACATATTTAGAGGAAAGAGCAGTGCGGTTGAAACGGAGAGAATGGTGGATGATGATGTGCCTGAGATGCAGGAAAGTGAGAAGGTAAAGGGAGGTCAGACCATTTCCAAGGGCAAGAGGAGTGTAGTAGAAACTGAGGGAAGAGGTAAAAGGAAAAATTTTAAAACGCAGAAAATTTCTGGAAATAGGGAAGGACCTGAATCAAGGAGAGATGAGAGACATGAAAAATCTTCATGCAAAGTAGAAAAAGCCACTGGAGAAACTAAGAATACATATGAAAAAAATGATTTGAACATTGTCCAAGACCCAAAGGAGAAGTATGAAGAAACTGGGGAGGAGACGAATGTAGAAATAATCGAAGAACATAATGGTAAGGATGGATCAAATAGTGTTCCAAATGATATCACCTTGCTTGAAAAATGGGATGCAGATAGTAACAAAATTAATTTGGTATGTAAGAAATCAACAGACAGGGAAAATGAATTGATTAATGACAAGAAAGACATCGCGCAGGGAGAGAATTCTAAGGACGGTGCTGGCTTTGTTGTATATAGTGATCCTGGCTGCGAGAAAAATGAGGAAAATACAATCAGTCAAGAAGTGAGCTCAAATGCTGAAGCTGAGGGTGGGAATCAGATTAGCGAGTTGTTTATTTTGACAGATCACAACGAAGCAGAAGGTAATTGCCAGTATTTTTTGTGTCCCCATTATTATATGGGACCGTTTTATCCCAATGTTGGTTTACCAAAATTGTTTTCAACTTTTACAGCAAATGAACCTGTAGTTGTTATTTTACCAGATGAAACCAAAGGTTCTGGGGATGATGTAGCCTTATCGAGGGTACCTGTGTTGAAACATGATATAGATACAGAGTCGAAAGGCGATGGAAATGTTTGTGAGGCAGATGGTGCTCAAAGTTCTGATGAGGTCAGTCTAAGTAATTTTATTTTTTATTTTTTTTAATGTAACATATGACCTGCTTTCAAAATGTTATAAGATTTATTTAGGAGAACGCATTATCAGATTGCAAACCACAATTCTTGTATATGGGATTAACAAAACAATCTATAAGGCGAGCTGCCCCTTGTTCCTTGATGTTCACCAAATTTTATCACGAGATCAACAATTTTATATAAGACATCTTCGATGTTGGAAGTGTTATTGCACTTTTCGACTATTATTACTGAGGAGAGACATTTGATGTTCATTAAATTGGATCATAAGACAATGATTGGAACTTGAACACCTTGGGAAATATTTTTGTCTTCAAAATCTAATTTTTATTGATAAGATGCCATTTTTTGTTGTCATTACATATCTGCATTACACATCTGATAGAAAATAGGTCAAAGTGCCTAAGCTTTACATTTTCCTTTATTTTTCATGTTGGGTTTGAGCAGCAATATAGTTTCAAGATGAGGTACTCGTAATATTTGGTATTAAAGAGCATAGATAGTGTTAATTGAATAAAGCACCTCTTGGATGGCTTTTCCAGACTATTCCATTAGATCCCACCTGGGGGAATGTGACTCCACAAGGTCTTACTAAAGCTTTCTTCAGAAAATATCACGAGAAAATTAGGGTCCTCACAAATTTCTTGGAATTGGCATTGTTTAGATTTCATTATTGGGTTTTTGTTTTACTTGCTTATGTTGTAGGTGTTGCTTAATGAAGAGAAGATTTGGACACAGATCGATGCTGTCAAAGCAATAGTTGGCTACAGAGAGCAACGATCTGCATCCATCTATGAAGAAGTCAAGGCTTTGTACTTATTCACTGGAGTTGAGCCCCCCTCATCATCTGAGGAGTCATCAGATGTTGCAGAGGTTTATGGAAGTCTCCGACTTCTCATGTCAGTGATCGGTGTGAAATAACCAGCTCAGAATTTTGCTGCTAGTAGAGTCATCTGAAATGCAAGGACGGTTATAGTGAACTGATTGAAAATGTGTTCTGTTGGTTTTGTTCTATGGTAATGTAGGTTCTAAAGATTTTTTAACATTTTGTTAGACAATCTTTGCTTCAGCCTAGCTGTTAAAATTTGTGTGAATTGTTTTTAATTTGTTTAACGATGTCACTGACCAGTCATCATAACTCATGGATTTCGTGAAGAATATCATATCTGTAGGGATGATTTGCAGCAAACTCCAAGTACAAAATCGGGCTCAGTTTACCAATTTCATCGATACCACCAAGGTTGAGACAACTCCAAAACCACCACCAAGACCGCCCCACTTCCGGTTGCTATAGGTTGGGAAGATGAAGTCCAATAATATACCCATTAAGAATTAACCACAAAGGTCACAGTGAAGTGATGCAAAAAGCCAAGAAGAAAGTCTCACAAAGAGAGAAAATGGGCACACGCATATGGAGGCTGAGAGAGAAACGGGAATTAGAAGCCAAGTAAATGTCCAAAATAGGTAAGTTAGGTTAGAATTAAGTTGTGGACCAAACAAGGCTCGACTCAATATTAATGGGCCTCAAATTAATAATATAGCCTTCCAAGGAAATGGGGCGAACCGTGAGCAACACTATTTACAATAGGTTGTTTCGAACGGTCCATACGAATATAGATTGTGTTGTCTCGATAATTGTGTCGATGTACTAGTCAATCATATGGCCATGGCCGATCGATACTAAAATCGAGATTACATCATAGTCCGAGGATGTCGTTTGACAACAAATTACCTAACAATATCTCATGGATTTAGTAAAGAATAATGCTAGGTTCACAGGAGATTCTGTTACCAACACTTACACCAATGGGACCCATCTGTATAAAAAACTACAAAAAACCCCATCCACCCATCGTTGGTGTTGTGAGTGTTCGGTACGGGTTCTGTGATCCCACGTGCCGTAAGTGTCTAGGATTGCACTCCTCGAGGAAATAAGCACAATATGAGATTGTTTGACATGATTTTTACTTTTACTTTTACTTCTGGTTTAAGAGTTTTATGAAGAAATTACATTAAATTGTTTTTAGAAGTTGTTCTAATTTTAACTAAAACAGGAAAGAAGCACGAAGAAAAATCTGTTAAGAGAATTTGGATGAAGAGCGTTGAAGTAGTGAATGCGACTAGAGGCCTTGGCAAACTGTCAACTTATTGGGCTGTGATGCCAAAAATATATATTTGTGTGTCCAGCCCATTTGGGCAATGATGATATTAAAAGGTCCAACAGATACTACCCAGCCCATTGCCCAATAACTCAATGTTGAAAGCAAATGAAACCCGACCCAAAAGCAATAACTCACGTGTGTCGCTCTGAACCCTTTGATCTACTTAACCTAACATCTACGGTGATGACCCATTAATATATAAACGGGGTCTGAGACGTTTTACCCTAATTCTGAGTCATATTTTCTCTGCCTCTTTGTGATATTTTCTCTCGAACCTTCTAGGTTTCTCTCTTGGACGACTCTGTGTCTTCTGCCTCTTCTCCTTCTTCGTGAATCTGGTGATTAAGTCATAAAACCTCTGGTTTTGTGGCTACTGTGTGGTCTCCCTGTCTGTGTGACTGTTCGGCTGTGGTTAGATGAGAGTTTCCTGTTCGGGTTTGGGGGTTTTGAGTCCAGTGTAGTGACTGCCTCTGTGTTTGTTCTTTGGGACTGTGGTTTATGAGCTTTCGACGTTGTACAGACGGGTACAATGCATAATCTGAGTCTAAATCTATGAAAATCTTGATGCCTTTGATCTGAGGATTTTCGGTCATTTGTTGAGTCGATTTGAGCTGATTTCTTGTAACACAACTAAAATGAAGAATACGAAATAATTAAACACGCAATCCACCTTAATTTAACAACAATTATGAAATTTTAATTAGTCATTAGATTTAGTTCTGTCACTAACTTATGTAAATTTAATTTGACTTTTCACCCGACGAAAATCGTCAACCCGAAATGGGTTGATTATGATTTAATGGAAACGAAATAGAATTATAGCAACAACGATAATATTCAAAGTATAGTACTTTTTTTTTTTTTTTATACAATTGCTCCTTAGTGCTTCTCAAAATTAAAACACTTATTCAAGATCAAAACAAGCAAAATTGCAAAAACCCACTTAATACTTATGAATTATCCAAGAACAAAAGTAACTATTAAAACATAAACAATAAGATTAAGAAAGAGAGAGGGATTACAAAATTTTGCTTCTTCAATCTATTCTTCTTCTTGTTTCAAAATATCGTGATTGGAACCGCAAGAGTTTGAGTGGGAAATATGTGAGCTGGGTCTTTGAAAAATATAAATAAATTTGATGTCAAAGACTTAAGACTTTTTTGGATTTGGGCTAAAAATTATGAGCTAAAATAAATTGTGAAAGAAATCACAAAAAAAATCTGAAAATTTTGAATCTGAAAAGGCCCAGGCATTTGGAAACCCAGCGGGGACAGTTGCACCCACTGGACCCTTAATAGGTCTGCCTCTGGTGCACGCTGCAATTGCTTCGTCAACGTGTAAGTTACAAATGCTTTTGGTTGAATTGGAAAAAAATATAAATGGTTTGGTAAGTTTTCATCTAACTTAATATTTAAGTGAATTGAGAACCTATATGACATTAGTTTCGAAAGTTATCGATTCATAACACCATGTTCGTGAAACATTGAGAAGTCAAGCCCTAATATTTTAATCTTACCATTTATATTAACACCTGAGTTCAAAAAATAAGCCTAGACTTAGAAATATATATGTCTAGTACAACATATCTTTACGGGCAATATTTGTCTATCGTTGGTAGTTTCTAGATGTATCTCAATTAACATTTACAATCCCAAGAAATGTCGTCGTATGCTTAGAAGTTGGAAAAAATGCATAGAAGACATTGATGGTTAGTGAATATTAAAATAAATCACTTTTATGATGTTAGAAACTATAAATTAGAAATAAATGAGAATCGAGCATCGCCACTTGTAAAATCATAAAGCAATCGCGCAAAACCAAATTGCAAGAATATTACAAAGATGTCAACATAGATGTGTTTAGAAAAAAGGGGGAAGGTGAAAATCTAAATAATGGTCTAAAGATCTTCTACATAAGTTTTGAGATTGACCAAAACTTATTCCGAAGCTACACTTTGGACTTGGATTTTGCAAAAGTTCAAGACTTTTGTGTGCCAACTGCCAAGTCCTCTAATTAAGAAAATTCCAGAAGTTTCTTGTGTTATGCCTCAATACATAAAAATAAAGATAAACCAAAACAAGAACAATCTCTGGCGTTTTTGTCACATTGATTTTTCGATTCTCATTTCCGTGCAACATAGATATCCTTCAAGAGGATTGCCTCACTGAACATGCCACAGCTTGTGCCCAATGCCTCAACTTTGTCTTCACATGTTGAGGATCATCACCTGCAAACTCATTGAGCCATTGTATAATGATAAATATCATATGCACTTCAAATCCAACAGAAATATTTGTGGTGAATGGCAATTTGAAGAGAGAGAGAGAGAGAATACAAATATCCTTGGTTCTTGACAAAAATACTAAAATTTTGATTAGAAATTTTATTTCTATCTGGACTTTGCTGCGGACTTGTACTAATAAATAAATGCAGGATTCAAAATATTAACTTAATTGCATGATTTAGCACTTGTTTGAGCTCCATTTTAATGAAAATATCGAAGGAAATGAGTTTTGGAATGGTTATTTTTGAAGAATGTGTGGAAAAAAATACACACACACAAAAAATCGATTTACGGACAATATTATTTTATGAAAGAATGTGTGGTTGAAAATAAATTATAAAAAAAATGAGTTTTTGAAATCATTGGGACTGAGCATAGGCTTAATTTAAATTCAACAGAAAGTTGATAAGTGGTTTAATTTGAGTTTTGATGTTATATTAAAATTATAAAAAAGTTTTATTCAATTTTTCTACCGCATAGTGTCCTAAATTTTTTAATAACATTTTCTCGTGTAGTCTCCTATTGCATTTCTTGTTTTCGTTCCAATGAAACTTGTTTCATAATTAAAAATAAAAAGAATTATATACGCAAGAAACATTAGGCTAAAGCATTTGTCATGAGGTCTAACCAGGACTGCAAATCTTCCATGAATCAGCAGAGTCGCTCTCAAACGACGTAGACCGGCCGCCAAGAGCGGGTGCTGACTCGGTACTGCTTGGACTCAATACCGGGCTCATTGAAAGATTGCGGTTCACAGCAAAATAAAGGTCAAGGGCGGGCAATGTGTTGCATAGCTTTTGTCCTTGTTCTTCATTGAACCCGAACCCGAGTTCTATGCACCCTTTTAGCTCGCTCAAATCCTCGTCTGTCAATTCGTCAGAGTCGTTAATGCCGTTTTTCTTCCGCTCTTGCATGAAAATCTGACCTCGCCTTTTCTCCCATGCAATATCGCGAGGAGTCTCTAACATGGAGAGCTGCTTTGATAATCTCTTTGCCTTAGGATTTTTCAAGAACGGTGGAGCATTTTCTAAGCGTCGAAGATCCTCCATTTCAGACTCGAAAGAAGAGGAAGACGACAACGACGACGTTATTAACTCTTGATGATTTGACTCCTCCATCTCCTTCAACAAAATTGGAGAAGTCAACAAAATTAGAGTGGTGTTACTCGGCTGCCATGACGGAGCAGGATATGACCGCCTCGGCAAGCCGTGGATGGTGGTGGAGGAGGAGCGGCGGTTAAAAGAGGATTTTAACTTTCGAATAGAGAGAGGATCTCTATTGAGGTTCTCGTGCATGCAGGTGAGGCTCGGAAGGATTTTAATGGGAGAATTGCATGGGGAATATTGCCATGGAATGAGGGGGTCCTCTCGACCGTTAATTTTTAACTTTCATGCAGCTAATTTGCATCGTTAATTTTGGCAACTGATGGATCGTTAGTTGGTTAACCATTTTTTTTTTCATGTTATTGCCATCACAATTTTGTTTTATTCCATAATAATATTTTGAGCTATACTACAATGACAAAGGGGTTTACAAAATTAGGTTACAAAATCAAATCTACACCAATCATTTCAAAAATAAATTTTTAAATCATTTGAAATCAACGATCCAATTTTGCCAACGCACTTTGGCACTCCACTTTTGTACACCAACTTTGTAGGAGTAGAATTATTCTAACATTTTAGTTGCGTTAAAGGTATTCAATTTTGTTTATCGTCGCACTTATATTTCAAAATATTCTTTAGTCGCAATTGTTGGGTCGCTTTTCGTACATTCAGGATGATTATGACGAAGTTATGGATTTTGCAAATTTGAAATTCGGTAATAAATATACAATCTACGTTAAGTAGTGAGCCTGAAAGTGATTATGAGAGAAAGTGAAAGAGTCAAAGCTCGGAATCAGTAGAGGTCTAATTTAATTACGAGAATATTTTTAAATACAAAATATAATGATATTAAAATAAAATAAAAAAATTGTATTCTAGTTGGGGTCAAGGATATTCCCCACCTCCCTCCACAACTATAAGCCTGGAAAATACTATACTCCTGGTATGGATATGAGAAGTATAATTAGGGCACATTTATTATAATTTTTAAGCTTTTAATTGTACGTCTAGTCTTTGAACTGGGCAAGTTCTACTTATATTATATTATTTTTTGCTTCTATTATTAATTATGTTCAAGTAAACGCAAATATATCATTGTTACAAGAGTCTATCCATCGTGTCAGATTGTTCTTGCACTTTAGTTACATAGTTACAAACCCAACATCAACAATTTGAAGTGCTTGTCTTGTGTATTCTTGATAAACCAGAGTTTAAGCCATCAGTTTTGGATCCCTTTGATATTTTCTTCGGGAGGTATCATTTATCCCATTTTCGATAAAATAAAATAAAAAGCCCATTTGATGTTATTTTTTAGAATAAATTTTGCAGAAAGTGAATTTTAAAGAAAGCGATTAAAAAGTGGATAAAAGTTATGAGTCCGCGTGTAAAAATATTTTATTGAAAAATATATGATTTAAAATGAATTTGAGAAAAAAAATTTAAAAATATGTACTAAATTGGGGCTAAATATGCCCTACTTGGTCAATGAATATTTACCTTTTTTTTCCCTTAGAGCAAACTATCCCCAATAATTATTTTTTGTAAAATAAAATACAAATGACTTATTTTTATTTTTATCTTCCAAACCCATTGTCGACCTCAAAAAATGGATAGTATTTTTGAAGTCAACAGTATAATTTATTCTCTCAATTTCGACAAGATTTCTTCACCTTTTTTTGGCATTTTTGCCTGTTTTTTAAGTCAATTTATGTAGTAGAAAGAGATTAATATTCTAACATTATTTCAGTTGAAAATGTTTGTCGATCAGAGATATTAAACAATATAAAATTGGACAATATTAAGGTGCTTATGAAGTTATCCCTTAATAAAACAAGCACCTATAATGGTTTAATAACTAAAATAATAATTTCATTAATTAGCCGTATTATACATGATGATGGTTTCCATCCAAAAAGTTAACTGTATAAAGACTTTCTCATATTTTTATATTATCGCAAAAAATAAAATACAAAGATGGGACATAATGCGAATGCGACAATAAGGAAAGATCGAAGACCTTTATATAACTAAACAAAGTGACAAATAATTTATCAATTTACACTAGCATGCCCTAATGTTTTAGACAATTACAGATGTACCCTCCTCTTTGAAACTATCCATGTTTCTTTTTTATTATTTTAATTTAGATAAGAACGTCAGTTTTAGTTCAAAGAGTTTTTTTTTTTTTTTTCATTCAAATAAGTGTTTTGATTAACAATTACATTTTTATTTTGAAAAATGAACAAATTTTGATTCATAATTGTAGCAGAAAAAGAATACAAGTAAATCTGAACTTTTAACCTCTTTCAATGCCAATTTTTTTAAATTTTAGATTTAGGATAAGGTATTCAATTTTCTAAATTTCATCTAGTATAAATGTTTCAAGTATTTAAATGTCTCTTCATTATTCGCTCTTTATCTCTCTCTACAGTGGATGTTTTATGTTTTTCTTACAGCAACAATTTCAATGTCTCTTCATTATTTTTCTTGCTTTTACTTTGTTGACATTGGTCTCGTTTTTTAGACCTCTTATTCTCGAATCTCGAAGCCCTTTTTGCCCGGCACAATTCCAAATGGACTTTAGGTGCATATTTATGAAAGGTAAAGGACCTTTTCTGACATAAAACAAAGGTAAGGATAAAGTCTGTAAAAAATGAAAAAGTTAGGGATCGCTGCTGCAATTTTCCCTAAAATAAATCCAGGCTGACATACATTTTCCCACATCATTATCACATGAAATTTTCTTGAAAAAAAAAAAAAAACATAGACTCAATCAATCCTCGTACCATAATCACAAATAAAAAATAAAAAAAGCTGAAGCTGGAATCAGAACGAAAGCTTAGAAGCCCATTTCAATTGCTCAATCTTTTCTTACAAAACGCCCACATTTATCATTCTGAATAGCTTAATTTCTACCTTAACGTTCCAAATTTATAAGAAACAACCCCAACAGGTAAAACAACACACACGAATTAATGTAGCGTTTCAAGTCCCTCATTTGCCTCAGAAAAAGTAATACAAGCCCATAAAGAAATATAAATACATATATATTGTTGGCTTTTTTGATACCCAATAATCTCGGACGATGATGTTAAACCGACGTTGAATAAATTAATTATCAACACCCAAAATTGAGGATCCGACCTTAAAACTATTTGGATCATTGGAAGCAACCTAATTAATTAGTGTTGCTCATGGCCCAACTTTCACACTCATTGGACGGCCCGACTTTAATACTCATTAGACGACTTATTTTGTTAGCCCACTTATCGCTCAACAAAAAAATGAGTAATCTTAACAAACTAATAATTAATTCTTACAAATCAATTTTCTTCGATCCTTTCGATATGGGCCTGACGAGACTTCCAAACTCCCACCAACACTCACAAAAAGGTAACGCAATTCGCTCTCTATCTCTCTCTACAGTGGATGTTTTATGTTTTTCTTACAGCAACAATTTCAATGTCTCTTCATTATTTTTCTTGCTTTTACTTTGTTGACATTGGTCTCGTTTTTTAGACCTCTTATTCTCGAATCTCGAAGCCCTTTTTGCCCGGCAATGTGTCCTCTCGATTTTTTCTCTGATTTCCATTCAAAGAATTTCTTTTCAGATTGAAAAATAATAATAATACAGAGGTTACAGACCATTTTGATGAATTACTTGCATGTAATTAAATTTATGGATTTTCTATTCTTCGATAAATCATAGATTTTACAAGACGAATGCTCGTCTGAGAACATTAATCTTTAACTTGTAATTGTTTGTCCAAACTTTTTGAGTTTGATACTATAAAGCCAGTGCTCAAGTTCTAACTTTCGATTATAAAATTAAAGATATGCTTTTTTTTTTTTCTTTTAATAAACTTGTAAGAAATTCCTTCTACAACAATGCAATTAAAGCTAAAATGGGACAAATAATCGTTTCTAACACTTTCGTTGACATTCAAATCTGAACGACATAGTTGCTGATAGATCTTACTCTTTCTTGGTCTAAATTTGTTTGAACTCCAATAGAACTCCCTTGATTGCCTCGATCCCTGCTCATTAAACACACAAACAAAAAAAAAGAAAAAAACAAAGAAAATGTGAAAACAAAATAAAAATAACACTAAAAAAAAATTAAATCAAATAAAAATGAAGGAAAAAGGAACGATGTCACCCTTTTTCGGTCGATCCCTTGATTAATTGTACCGTCTCCCCGGCAACGGTGCCAAAATTTGATTACGCCCAAAGTATAACGCGGTGATTGTAGTACAGATTTGGGGTGTCGTATCCATAGGGAGATGGAAATTTTCTCAAAAAATCAAACAAACTAGGGTTTTCGTAATTTTATGTGGGATTGATTTGTCACTTGGAATAAAAATTAATTATCAATATGCGACATAAGTGAAGCATCGAAATTCGCCCAATGGATTGGATCAATCGATATAAATAATTCATGTATTTTTCCTCAATTAAAGATTTTCTTTCCAACTCTCTAATAGGAAGATTTAACAATAAAGTCCAATTTAATTCCAATTATATTGCTAGAATCTAGATTTCCTATAACACATTCGCACATTTTTTTATTGGAATAAGATCAAAGATCGACCATATACATCAAGCATAAGGCAGTAATCAATTCGCCAATAAAGTAATATTAAGATTAAAATTCAACAATTATTTCAATCATTCGATAGAAGGAACATGACTAGATCTATGAAGGATTTGACAAAAGTTAAAATAATCTCAACAATAAATAATTCAAATTGTAATTCAACAAGTATTTCGAATATTCGATAGAGAAAGCATGACTGAATCTATGGAAATTCTAATAATTGCTAAACGAATGTCAAAAACATATTCAAGATATGGAAATTCGATTCTAAAATTGTTTAATAATGAAAAACTCAATTACATGAATTTAAAGATGTCGAAATCACCAAAACCGATTGAGATCCTTCGTTGCTTCACCAAGTTCCTTAGTTTTCCATGGAGTTTCTTGAGCACCAAGATGAAAGAAATAAGTCCGGGGGCGTCTCCTTTCGTTCTGGGCGGTTTTGGGCATTTATATCCCGTGAAAATTAGGTTACTGAGATTCAATCATATAAGGAAACTGAGATTTGACCGCCCAAAAAACACTATGTGACCGCATGGTTATTGTCATTGCGGTCGCATGGTTCTGCA